ATATATATATATATATATACGGGCAAAGAAGTAATCACGAGAGTGCAGACAAATTTCTTTGTCTGCACTCTCGTGATTATTACTTTGCCCATGTATCTATTTAAGTAATAAGCATCCAACCAACATTTGTTAGTTCGGATACAGTGCCAATATTGGATCATACTGTCGTTATTACTCAGACCCATATATATATATATATATTTATATATATAACATATATTGAAAACCAAATAATATTAGGTACCAAGTATTACGGTTTTAATGTAAACTGCATTACATGTATATTACATATTACAGCATAGCCTTGTTATTTCTAGTTACAGCACGTCACTGACACACGTGAAGGTATAATTAATGGTGTGTGAATTTTAGCCGCGTATCTCCTGGTTTAATGTGCCGACACGCATATCATCAGTTTTAGCAACAATAACAATTTGATTGTTTATGGCATAATTTGGTTCATCTTTGGGGTTTTAACGTCCAGTGATTACTACACACAGGTGTTTTTTTAGGTCAGGTTGGTACCTTTGAACTTATTTCATGAAAAACAATCAACATGTTATTTTGTGTTGATAAGGTTCAGGACGCGTTTTGCTTTTTTCCTAGAACTCCTCCTCTGTGTTGATCACGTGATCATATTCCTAGAATCTGTACATCATCTGCGTAGGCTGTGATAATGGGATGCCCAGCCTATTTTAGAGTGAACGCTATATAAGAGGGGTGTACATTGCGAAAAACTATTCTGACCTAAAAGAGGGCAACATACTTCAACCATGATCCTGTCAGCTTGTTTGTGCCTGGTCCTGCTCAACTTGGGGTTGACATCCGCAGTCGTCCATGATAGTGATGATAGTAAGTTATTTTTATATATTTGATTATGCTACTTATCAAATGAAATTATCACAACATTAAAATTTAACCAGTTATTTTGTAGCTGAAGAAATATGTAAAAGTCAGGAGTCGTTAGACAAGAATTCTTATTCAATACTTTTTTAATGTTCTGATTGCAAGGCTTGCATTTAAATGTATTATGATGTCAAAAATAACGTACTATCATTGCATAAAATAGATACCCGATTTATTTATTTATTTAAATGGCGATCCTCCATTTGCCTGATAATGATATCTTAATAACTGTCATGAAATCAAATGAAAATTCCTGTTTCAATGTTCTCTCGACATCGGTTTCGGAGCCATTAAAATACAACTGCAATATTACACGATTTGAAATCAGCAGGGACTGTAATTAATATGCGGGCAATCTAAAAATGGAAACGAAAAAACAGTTACTGAATTCTATATCTTATTTAAATATACGAACAAACATTCGTCAAATAAATATTATCTGCCTGGAATGTTCGGTATGTGTTTCAAACGGGGACTGTGATCACAGTATTCAAAGAGTGACATTTCGAACATACTTGCCCTATACCAACATATCTTGCTGTTTAATTCAAGTATCTATAATTAACGTATAATTATCAAAAATGTTTCCTCCCTTTAATTGATTTTTCAACTTGTTGATATTAATATATTTATGATATCTTTTTACTTATAAATGCATGTTGATAATAGAAGTTGTTAATCAATGTTCGTGTACTTTTCAGTTTTAGTTGTACGGTTAATAACTTTTATTTTCTATTCTTTTTAACTATTGAGTTACAAGGCAATGCACAATTGTTTTTAGCTGACTGTGTTCATTGATATAAGGATGTCTTCAGGCTTCGGCAGAAAAAGTCCTAGTGAAAACTATGATTTTGTAGTGAGCAAAGTAAAACGTGTACTAAGCAAACATGTAAATATATGCGTATTTCTTCGCGAGTTATAAACTCTTAAGTTTAATGCCGAACTTTTTTGTCGGTGTGCAGTTGATGTCTACACGTCTGAAAATCCTAGTTTAGTGTCGCACACGTCACGTTGTCGTGTGAAACAGCTGGATAAATTGCAGCTACAGAACACTTATCGCTCCGGAGTCGATGCTCAGAAGATAACATATTTCTTCGTTTCATTGATGTTGAGCAAGCCCATCTAGTTTTGAAAACAAGCAAACTGTATAATAAGCCTAAGTTTGTATACGGTTACACATAACATAAATTATGTAAAAATGCATCGACTCACAAGGACAAAAAAGTTTGATAAGTTTGTATACGGTTACAAATTTAGTTATATTTAACCCTTTCATCCCTATGTAACTTCAGTAAACTATACCATGCATTGATTTGGTTGAGTCGATTATGGTCTACAGTGGTGAAAGGGTTAACAATGTATCAAACACAATATAAAATGGTTGAGTTTTCTCCGTCTGCATAACACAGGAGTGATTTGTTATTTTTCTGTCATACTTGCTACTGTGAAACAAAAGTTGCAATCGTTAACCCTATGTACCGCGCAATTATATATGCGCAACAAAACTGATGACGAATCATGGTAGCGTTGCATAAAATGATGACGCGATGGTGACGTTTTCAGAATAACAGTGCGTGTGCGCTGTCTTTCCCTTGGTAGGCGATAAAATGGTTTATCTTTTCCAGACAACAGCGGGAATGCGCCTGTAAAGTGTTGAAGAATCAGTTTTCTTATCTGCATGACATAAATGGGGTATACATTGTGTGTTCTTATTAGTTTGGTAAATGCCCATTACTCAATTTAAATCATAACTTGTTTCATACTTGTGTCAAACGAACACATTTCACATGCTTGGTATACTCAATTTGTTTTCTTTTTCTTTGTACAGAGGCCACAGAAATCAATTACTATGTAGTAATAAATTTTCAGCGGAGATACAATGACGATTTTCCTGCTCTGGAGAAAAAACTTGAGGACGCATCACGACAATGCGAACTGAAAATCAACACAACGATCGATACCTGTTTGGCCTGTATCAAAAGGTATCTATCCACTAATAAAGGGAACAACGGACATTTTTAATCCATTTCCTAGGTACATAATATTTTGTATAAATATGCTAATGTGTTGCGATAGTTTAAATACTTGCAGTGGGTTTGGTGTATAAGAGCATAAAGTTTTCCTTTGTTATTATGTTGTGTTGCCTTTGAACTATGATTCCATCTTTGTACTCTGTGGTATATTCAGGCGTATTATGTATCAACATTTCTTATTTATATTCTTACAGAAACCAAAATTCTGGCCATTCACCAGGAAGTGTCGGATTTGATCAAGTTATTTTAGGTATTATCCCAGCCCCCTTCCGTACTGGGTTGGACAAGTTTGGTAAAGGATTGAATTTCGCAAAGAAAATCCCAAATTTTATTACAGGCACCATTCCAAAGACAGCCGAAAACGTCGGAAAAGAGGTCGGTAAATTTGTCACTGGTACGATTCCGAACACTGCCAAAAATATTGGCAAGGAGTTTGGTACATTCTTCACCGGCACATTACCTGGAGTTACTAAAAATGTAGGAAAGGAATTAGGCACATTCTTCACCGGCACGATACCGAAAGTAGGCAAAACAATCGGCAATGGCTTCAAAAGTTTTGGTAACTCTTTGAAAGGTAATTATCCAATTATATATTCATAAAAATATAGTAAATTTATAGTTATATTTAAAAGAGTGCAATGAAGAATAAGTATCTTAACAAGTTAAAAAATAATATTGGTCAGAAATAGAGAAAGTGTAACTCAATTCCCAGAACACAATTACACCCAACATAAATTCAATAGAAATATATTATTGATACATTTAATACAATAAACAAATACTACTGTACGGGTTATACATAGTATTGAGCTAATCTGTTAGTTTTTGTATGTATACATCAGACATATATCACCATCTTTAATATCTAGTAGTGAAATGTAGCTACTTACATAGACTATTAAGCTGTCACGTGTAGGTGATTAAGTTCATATGCAAATAGTTGAGCTTTCATATGAAGCTGTTCAGAAGACGAACGTAACACACACACA